TGAGGTGGTGCTGGTGCTGTGTGGCGGCGGGCGAGAAGGGGAGTTTAGTCGGCTGGCCACTGCTATCATGACTGCTGGTAATGCTGCCGCCGATGCTGGTGCTGATGATGGCGGCAGGAGGGGGTTGAGCGGGAGAGGGGTGAGATGGGAGGCATCTGGCCAGCACGCTGTCAAGTTCAAAGTCCGCGCCAGCCTCCTCGTCTGTAGCGGCACCCACATCAGCAGCGGCGGAAGCAGAACGCGGAAATGGCGCTGTTGTTGGTGGTGCCGCTAGCTGGCTCATCTGGGTGAACTTTGACTAAAAAAGTAGAAAAAAGAAAGAAAGTTTGCCTCTGTGTAATTTGACTGCTGGTGTGAGCGAGAACCGCGACGCGGAAAACTGCAAACTAACTAAAGAGGTTAAAACAGAACCGAACACAACCCGTGGGGGGATCCCAGTTGCATATGATGTGAACATTTAGTTTTTTTAAGTATGCAGGAACGGTAGCCAGCTCATCCTTAGAGGGGAGTTGTGAATCCTCCTATCTACAGTGGCCCCGCTGTGAGAGCAAAAATGTTGTGAACAGAAGAAGGAAAAGAGACAAACAAGTCAACGTGGAGTGAGGGGGGGCAACGAGCCAACTGTTGACAGGGTCACTAGCCGGCGTGGCCACAAACCAACCAATTAACTAACATGCGTAGAGGAACCAACGCGAAAGAAGGCAAGGGGAAGGAAGGGGAAGCAGCAGGAGTCATAGAGAAGAGAGGAAGAAATTAAACCAACACAGAGACTAGACCGACCTTTCAAGCAGGCTTCGTAATATCTGATGACATTTATTCTGATTCATAACAAGTACCATCTTGTGCGCAAGGGGGGGGAATAGAAGATAAAGTCACAATAAGTAAAAATAGATATAAGGGAAAAATTGAGAAGTGAGAGCAGAGAAGCTGTGAGAACCATCGAACATAGACAAACTTACACGGCCGGCGGGATAGGCAAACAGAACCTGAGCTATCAACCTCGTTAAAGTGCCTTGGCGACATTATTTGAACTTAGTTGGCCAACGGACTAGTCAGCGAGAGGAAAAAGAAAACGCGCCTGTCTGGCGTTCGGATTCACGTTCGAGCACATCATCAGAGACAATTCGTACACAAGGTGCTGCAGTATCTACACGATGCGGTCTCAGTGCTAGGATAGCTGCTGTCTAGTGCGATAATTGCTTTTTAGCCGGCATGCCGCAAATTGAATCGCTCCAAGAGTGAAAAACCTCGACATCTGACCTGGAGAGCTCGACTCCTTCTCTCCTCCGGCGAAGGATATCGTATATAAGAAGTTCAAAAGTCTTTTTCAAGTCTTGCTGAACTGCGTCAAGCCACATTCTGAGTTGCCTCATTTGATATTACGTCGGTGTGCTTTACTCGAAAGATGGTTTTATAGAAATTTCGCAAAGATCGTGAAAACCCTGTGGAATACTATGCTGTCTTTATTCCGCCCATTTGATGGCCAAACTCCCGAAGTACTTACAGCTGCGTACTTCAAACTGAGAGCCATCAACCTTGAGGGGCAGGCCTTCACCTGGTGAAGGACGCAGCTCGAAAGGGCCCTTTGATCTTCTCAACATTTATAGACAGACCTACCAATTTGACGACTTCATTCAAACGTCAAACATGGTTGGTTGGTTGGTTGTTACGGCTGTGATCATGCCTGATCTAGCCGGC